TTTATGGTGCACTATTATTTGGTCTAAAGTACAAGATCTCTCTGTTTCTGGTCTTTCTCTGTGACCCCTTAAATCCACCATGGGCTGAGAGACCCTCAAGCACACCTGCTAGAAATGTCAGTTATGCCTGATGCACGACCTGTGTCAACTTAGAATGAGGAAGAAGACGTCAATCCCTCTGAGATGCTCACCCTCAGTCACAGCGTGCCCCGGAGTTTGAATGACCGATGGATGATGAAGACCCAGTTCCCTCCTCGCGCTTCATCCTCTTCCCCCTCACCTGGGCTTCATTCTCGGCCCCTGCCTGTGACAGCAGAGCCAGGTGCAGCCTGTCAACAGGTGGGTTAAGCAGGAAACGGCTGAGGACGGGCATGAGGGACTCTGCAGGGCTGCTGTATGTGGAAAGCCTGAGCATGATCAGCCCACAGGTTCATGGCACAGTTATTTGGTGGGGCAGCAGGATTTTTTGTGGGGGGTGTACTGGGGATCGAACTCGTCCTTGTGCTTGCGAGGTGCTGGAACCACTGAGCTAAATCCCCAGCTCAGGGACAGCAGTATTTTTTAATATCCCAGTTCAGCTATATTCTTTGCAGCTTAAGCTGCAAGATAAATAAGCTTTGTATAAATAAATCTTTTTCAATTTATGCCTCTTGAATGAATGGATTTTATTTTATTTTATTTTTTATTTTTGGTACCAGGAATCAAACTCGGGATCTTGCACTTGCGAGTCAGGCGGTGGCACCACTGAGCTAAATCCCTGACCAGTTTTTTAATTTCTTGAAATTTTGTCAACCTGATTTTAGCAGTATGAATGATGCTATTTGAGTTCTTTAAGGGGAAGTCAGGACACTGAAAACACCTGTATTATTCTAGATAGAGCCTGTAATTGCATCTTTTAATGCCACAGGTACCATTCATTTTCAGGTTCGTGCTTGAGGGTGGTTGTAAAAGTGCTTTAAAAAGTTTTTAATGAATTATTGATCTCAGTACATGTATCTGCTAGATGAGAAGTTAATTGAATCCAATAAACAAGATCAAATACAGAATTCAATCAATGAAAAGCACTGTCCCCGGTGCAGGGATCATGTTGGGTGGAGCCCGTGAGACCCTGCCCCTCTGCCTGCCTGTTGGAGAGGAGGGAAGACGCCCACTGAGCTGTCCTCCCGCGGAGTGTAACTGTTCCGAGAAAGAGTCGGAGAGCCTAGGGTGTTTCCAAGAGAAGGAGAGAGAGAGGCCCGAGGCTAGTCAGAAAGACTGCGGAGGACAGAAAACTGGGAGGGCCTGGGAGGGAGGAGTAGGCCCAATATCTGAGTCGGGGAGCAACAAGGACAAAGTCCAAAGGCGGAAGACCGCGGGAGGAGCTGTGCAGGACCCGCGGGCGGCAGGGAGGTCCGGGTGGAGGGGAGGCTGGGAGTGTACCGAGGGCCTGGGTGTGTGGTAGTGGTCTTTCTTGAGTATCCAAGGCAATTCATGAGGCAGAAGGTACTTCGACTGGTTTCTATGCGGACAAGCACAGAGTGACATATTTTTAAACAGGGGGAAATGGTCATGAGAAGAACCAGTAAAATATTGGCGGACTCTGGTTCGCAGCAACTCAGTACGAATTATGTCAGTGGTTTTTCGACCAACGTGGCGATTAAAGAAAAGGCAAGCCGGAGCCTTGGAGTCAGACGTGGATTTACATCAGCTCTCCTGCTTACGTGCTGTTTTATTTTGTGTATCCTCTGGCCTTATAGTTTATTAGTAGCCCAGAGATACAGTGTGCACTTGTGGTTTTATTGTGATAATCATCGTCGAAGGCCTGGCACTCCCCCCACCACCCCCGCACTGGGTACAACGCTGGTGTTTGTGGCCATAGCTTTATCCGGAGCTCTGCATTCGACATGAGCCGGGTTCAGACTGCTTCTGTGAGGTGTCTGCAGCCTTGCAACGAATATGGAACAAGAAAGGTTTTAAACCCAAGATAGAAAAGATGTTATGAAGGTTAACCTGTAGTTTACAGAGGTGTTATCATGCCTGGTAGACAGCGCTTTCTGGTTTAAATGTGGCGGCAGCAGTCTAGAGCTAAGGCTGTCTCTGTGCCTCTGAATGTATTCATGAAATGTTCTCATTCCGACAATCTAAGGGGGACTTTTAAAGGGCTTCTCCCTCTTTTCCACCAAACAAGTTCCAGAAATCTAGAGGCAAAAGTAAATCCAGAGGCAAAATTCTTCATAGAAAAGACCCTTTCTTTGAAATGTCTTATTCATCTTAGAAATTTACATACATTTTGCATTCTGCTGTAATGCGTCTATTTTATTTAAGTGTACAACTGATGTTGAACCCTATCAAGTCAAATTGCCTCGATGGACAGAATTTGTCGCATGAACGTGAACCCTTTCTGGCACACGGCTGCCTCTCGGGGTGGTGTTGGCTTCTCAGTGGAGGCTGCACAGGCCGAGCAGCATGGGAACCCAGAACCTCACAGCAAAGTAGGAATTCTACATCCTCCACATAGACAAGCCAACAGTGCAGGCCTCCGGTGGTTAGAATTCCTGGAGGTTTGTGCATTGGTTCGACTTGCACAATCATAGTGCTGCTAATATAAACAGGCATGGCGGAATGTTTATATAAAATGTATGTGAAGCCGGGCATGGTGGCGCACGCCTATAATCCCAGCACTCGGGAGGCTGAGGCAGGAGGATCACTGTGAGTTCAAGACCAGCCTGGGCTATATAGTGAGTTCCAGGTCAGTCTCAACTACATAGACCCTGTCTCCAAAAAAAAAAAATAAAAATGCAGGTGAAATTAAGTTCCAGGGGGCATGAAATTGGGGGGTTTCCATGTCACTCCAGCTCCCAAGGTGGGGAGGGAAGAGGTTCAGGGCTTTGTGACGCCCCCTGGGCTGCTGCCTCACCCAGAGCAACCCAGCATGGTTTGTTCCTGTCCAGTGTCTCAGCTAGACTTGCAGGGAGGAGGGTGACGAGTGGACACTGTTCTGTGAATTGCAAGGAGATTTAAAATTAGGATGAATTTTTCTTGTTAGCTCTAAATTACTTTAAAATATGATTCGCCAGTGATTTAATTGCCCCAAAGATTCCTGAGTAAACTGGACAGACAAAATTCGCTTGCAGAGCTGCCGGTCAGAACAGGAACTTACTCCCCGGAGCCTGGATCCTGACCGGCTCTCAGGACCGGTTTATCCTTGCAGTTACAGTGACCGGCAAGGGCCGGCTGCAGCTCAGGGACCAGGGTTCAATCTGAACACAGGGGAGGAAGGGTGGACATCTGATCCTGCTGGTCTTGCTGATGGGGTATTTGGTTATTTACCCTGTAATGGTTCCTTATAGTTTAAGAAGAAGAAAACAAATCCCAGGAGTCAGAAGACTTTTATTTTAGATTTTGGTCACTTATTTTATTTTACTTTCCACCCCTGTATAGACTAATAGCCTCTTGGGAAGTTAACGAGGTTAAAAATTTAAAAAATGCCAAATCCTCATGTATTTGACAAATTTTCCTAGGAGTACTGTTCTCTACTTATTAATTAATATGCTATCGTTTGAATACCCCCTAATGCTAAGGAATATGCTGAGTTTCCAGAAGCCAAGTGAGGCAGACAGGGCCTGAGCCCCGGAAGTGGCAGGAAGCCCAGGCGGGCACGTGACTGAGTAACGGAAGCCGCCTGGGTAACACGGCTTGCAGCTGAGCAGGCGCAGATGCGTTTGTGAGTCGTTTTAGACTCAGGGATGGCTGCTCGGAGGAGGGGATCGTTGCTAGATCTTGAAAGATAACAGGCAGTTAGGCAGTGGGGAATGTGTGCTGGGAAGAAGAAAGAGACTGAGGGTGCCTGAGGTGTTCATGGATCCCGTGTGCTCGCTGAGCCAGCCACAGGCGGGGCTGAAGGCTGGAAAATAGATCAGAAGCACCACGCGAGCGAGCACAGTACTGTGGAGCCCTGGCCGGAAGTCCCGGCCCTCGGGGTCCACGCCTCTTGCCTGCATGGAGGAAAGGACCTAGGAGAGAGAGGGCAGGGCTGGACTTTTGGGTGGAGAAATTCTTAGATTGGTTAACTCGGTGGTTGCCTTGTAAATTGCAGGTCAGATTGGGATGAAAAGTCTAATTTAGAGTTGCTAGAGTTTTTAGGTGTGGAATATGGGATGTTGACCCCTGAAGATGTAAGTGTGGGTTTACCTACAGATAAGAGTTGAAGGGTTCCCTATAAAATGCTATATTATGGGCCGGGGATTTAGCTCTGGTTCCAGCGCCTGCCTTGCAAGTGCAAGGATCCAAGTTGATCTCCAGTACCAAAATAAAGAAACAAACAAATAAAGTGCTACACTAGGGCTAGGGATTTAGCTCAGTGGTTCTGGCACTTCCCTCACAAGCACAAGGACCGGAGTTCATTCCCCGGCACCCCCCTCCCAAACAAAAACAAAAACAAAGCAGAACAAAATGCTACACTGAAATGGAATTACATGTTCAAATATTGTATGTATAGTTCTTCCATACGATTATGTGATTCAACTCTTAAATTCTGTTTTGTTCATTTTTCATCTACAAACAGAAAATAGCTAAACCTCAAATTTATTTGAAATTATGAAGCTTTGAAAGTCATGTTTTAAATGTGATTTAATAAGAAATAGCCTTCTCTTTGAATATTTAGATGTTGTCAGATGTAGGTTCTGATGCTTTTGTTTTTCTGTCAGTTTCCCCGAGTCTCCCAGCATAGCGTTTAAGTCAAGGATCCTTTCCAGGGTGCACTTCAGGTGGGGATTAGCTCTGCTCTGATTTTTGTCGAGAGATTGGAGAGCACCGTGAGAAACGTGTGCGTGGAGTGCTTGGAGATTCTCCGTTACTGAGGGGAGCAGGAGCCTTGGCCCCCCTGAACCCGCCCTCCTGAGAGGGTGGAGCAGGGAGTGTGCTGGGAACCGCTGCTCCCACCCAGGGCTATTGCCTCACCAGTCCTGCAGCGCTGTCATAAGGGGCTGTTGCCCAGCAACCGGGGGCTTCTGGCGCATCAGCCGTGGGCGTGGGCAGAGGCGGTGGGCTGCCCCTTGGGAGAAGCAGGGCCACATGGCGGGGGGACCTGCCTCCCCCGGGAACATCAGGGCTCTTAACAGTAAGTGACTGTCCTTAGGATCAAAGGAGATAAGTGGCTTTCTGAGAACACGCACCTCATTAGGGGAATTACTGATGTAAATGGAGTTGAACGTGAACTGGAGGCCAGGCAGGTAGCGATGGCTGTTAGAGTTCTCATCTCAAACACTTTCATTCTGGCTTGTCTCTCCTCCAGGCTTAGTTTCCTGGGTCAGTAAGAAGTAATTTTTCATCGTGCTGATGGAATATTGTGACCTTCTCTACGAACATTATGTAACTAAAGCAAATATTTACATTTGAGCAAACCCAGAAAGCTAATGCTCTTCTGGTCAAGTGGGCTGGGTGATAATGTACTTGATTCAGTAGCAACTCGAGAGTTTGCCACCACCCCCGAGATACCGCCTTGGGTTTTCTTTCTATAGAGAAAGGTCAAAAAACAACAATTTGCCAGGACTTTAAAAGAGAGTTGACAAGACTTCCAGAGAAGGCGGAATTAAGCTTTTAAGATTTAAAATTTCCATGTTGAGCAATGGCTTTTCTTGAAGATCCGGACACAGATTTTAAAGGCCAAGACATAGTGCTTTCAATATCTTGGAATGACACGAGATTGGTGGTTCCTCTCTCATTTATATATATCCCCAGGGGTGGGTAATGAAGATCGAACCCAGGGCCTTTGTACTGAACTGCATCCCTAGCTGTTTAAAAAACAAATAAATTAATTGTATGCAAAAGGGCCTCACTAAGTTTCTAAGTTGCCCAGCCTGAGCTTGAACTTGTATGTGCCACCATGCCCCCTCCCTTTTTGGTAAATACTTTAAAAAATTCTCAAGACCTGCACACAGATATTTGTTTTATATCCATGCATGTGCACTGTATCTAATTAGGGCACTAAGGAGCTATATCAGTAGTAGTAGAACAAATACACCTTGTCTAGGTGCTTTATACTGTTTCCATCATATACATCATTGGCAGGTGCATTCTGCTTATCTGTCTGCCATATAAGAGTATTAAATAATGGGAAATATATTAAATAGAGTAGGTGGCAGGCATTGTTCTATGTGGCTTAAACTCAGAATGTCATTGAAATCTGCTGGCATCCCTAAGCAGTAGGCCCTGTTATTAAGGGAAGCTGGGCTGGCCTACAAAGGTGAAAATAACTCAGCCAAATGTACACAGTGCAGATTTGGAATCAGAAAGACTATTTTTAGAATCTGTGCTTTTAATCATTATAATTTAAGGTAAGTACCACATTATTGAAGGGCCATTCAGTCTGGATTCACAGCAGACTTGTTTTAAATGAAAATGATACTCTGACAAGTTTTGAGTAAAAGTTAGGGTTTGTTGAGAGCTGATTTTCTTGGCTGACTGCACCTAGGCCACACAAGGAAAACAGCATTTTCTGAACTCTGATGATAATACTCATCTCACCGAGTATAAGCACCTTGTGCACTTTCTTCCTCGCACCGAGCTTTTCCTGTACTTAACTTCTGCACTTCTGTGAGCTTCCTTAGATACCTGACTTCAGAAATTCCCTTTAGAACTTCTCCTCCCTGCCTCCCCATGCTTGGATGGTCAGTGATGCTTCTGCCTGCCTCTTGGAAAAAAGCTCTTTTGGATGAGCCAGGCACCCTGATACCTGGGTGTTTTCATTCGAACTCAGCCCCCCCCAGCTGTCCTCGCCAGCTAGGCCTGCTGGACGCCGTGTTTCTTTCAGATACTCCCCTGACTTGTGCGTGACTTCTTCCTCTTACCCAAGCCAACAGTCAGGCGTGGTGCCTTCTCACTGTGATCATTAACTGTTGTGATTACCACAGTGAGCCTCTACTCATCTCCCTGCCGTGCAGAGCTGCTGAAAATCCCAACTCTACCGGGCCGGATGATAGCACTCACTGACCATGAAACCAGAGCTCGTTTTATAAAATACCATCAATGCTTTTCTGATGAGAAGAGAACATGATTTAATTTACAAAACAGAAAATAATTAAAATCTTATATAACCTTCTTTAGAAATAACGTATTAACATTTTGTTATGTACAGGATTAACTGATACTTCCTTAAAAATGAAACTGTGGTCGAGCTGTCTATGCTGTGTTGAGCTTGTTCATGTAACATTTTACCAAAAACTTCCCATGGCCCACATTATACGTTCCTCAAGATTTCTTGGTGAATTGAATAACATTAAATTGCAGAGAAATTAGAGCAAAGCTTGAATTTTTCCAATGAGCTTTGTAGGGCTGGGAGCTGGGAAATTATTTCTGAGTTCTATTTTGTTATTAAAAGTGACTCCAAGGGGGTGGAAAATACTTCTCTTTGTAACCATGGGCTTCAGCAGTGACTTCTTTCCAGAAAGTGTAGTGGAGAGCGGGGTTGCGTAGGGCAGAGTACCCGGGCAGCAGAGGGACCTGGTAAGCCCTGTCTCGGCAAGGCCAGCCTCAACGGTGGTCCCGCACTGATCTCACAGAGCCTGCATGGATAAGTGCACAGCTCTGCCTCTGTGTTAACCCTCCCCAAGGCCCACAGCCCCAGTCTGACCAAAAGGAAATCATGACACAGATCCCAGGGCTGCTCAAAACCCTCTAGGTCACTAGAAAACAAGGAAAGTCTAAGAAACTCGCAGAAAAGAGGAGACGTGATGGTTAAATATAATATATCCCAGGTGATATTCTGCATCACCAGAAAAGAGATTAGAGAAAAACTAAGGAAATAAAAAGTAGAGTTTAGTGGACGATAATGTGTCAATATCGGTTCATTAACTGTGGCAAATGTACCGTGAGGCATTAATAATAGGGGGAAGTGGGTGCGAATTAATAGAAACTTTCTGTATTAGCTGCAGATTTGTAAAAATTCTAAAGCTCTTCTAAAATAAGCTGGTCTTTTGAAGGAAGCACTGTTCCGCTTCCGGATATAGATCCAAAAGATTGGAAAGCAGGGTTTGGAAGAGGTAGTTTTGCTCTCCTGTTAAGGGTAGCATTATTCACAGGAGCTAGAGAGTGGAAGCCACTCAGTGCCCATTGGAGGACGAGGGGAGACACAGAAGGAGATTCTGACACAGGCCAAAGGGGTTAACTTTGAGATCAGTACGCTCAGTGAAGCCAGCAAGTGACAGGCAAAGTCTGTGTGACTCCACTCGTGGGAAATGTCTCGAGTAACAGGATTCATAAAAACAGAAACCGAATGGTGAGCCCAGAAGATGCTGGGCGGAAGAAATGGAGATCGATGCTGAATGGTCTGCAAGATTAGAAAGTTTTGGAGACCCATTGCACAGCACTGAGAATGTGCTTACTGCTGAACCGTGTCCTTGGAATGGTCGAGATGATAAATTTTGCCTTAAGTGTATTTTTCTGCAGTTCAAAGAAGCCTCACCAGGAAAGTAACTCTTTTACTCTGGGCGGTGTCTTTTCCTTTTCAGCTCATGATCCTTGGGAGCCCAGTTAGAGGTTAATTATCTGCTGATGGAAGCAGCAGAGATGTTACAAGAGCAGGGCAATTAGCACAGTGCGTTTCAACCCGTGGTCATCCCAAAGCCCACGCAAAAGTCGCCTCAGAACTAGCAGGATAGACGGCTCCTGCGTGGTTAGGGACTGGAGGGCAGAGCTGCTCGGACTGGCACATTTTGAGGGCGCTGTAGTCTGCACCAAAGATTTCTAGGAGCAGAGGCCGCAGCATTAACTACATGTGAAGTGATACTGGAGTCAGTAGTTTTAAATTTCTTCCTTGGAAGCAAAACAAGCATCCTATTATGCACACTGTGCATGTCTTCCATTAAGATCATGTGATGCAATGGCCAGGAGTCGGTATATATGTTTTTGGAAGTACCAGTGATGTCTGGAGTTTGAAGTTTTGAAAAGATGGTGTTAATATTTGTGCTACAAATGATGGCTGGGTTATTTTAAAGGGCAAGTTGAGTAAAATGATAGTTGTCAATATTTTTAACTCCCTTTCCTTTTCTGAGAAGGATGAAAAATTAAATATATGCATAATTGTTAATTATAGCTACCTGTGCACATTAGTAGAGTACAGTGTGTTTTCATATATACGTTGTGTGATCATAAAAATAGTAATGGGCATAGCAATCACTCAAACACTTATCGTTTCTTTGTGGTGAGCGTGTGCAGAATCCACTTTTCTAGCTTTTGAAAAAACACCACAGAAGAGGCTATCCTTAGCTGTGGCGCAGGAGAACACCAGGTTTATTCCTCCTCTTAGCTGTAACTTTGTATCCCTTATCCAGGGTCTGCCCTTCCTCCCTTCCCATCACTAACCACCATTGTATTCAGTTTCTGTGAGATCAGCTTTTTAGATTACACCTATGTGTGAGATCATGTAGTATTTGGGGGCAGCTTTGGACCCAAATACATCAGCGTGTCATTTCTTTGCTGGTCTTTGTCTTTGGAAGCCAGAACAAACTTTAGAGCATATGACATTGCTCAGAGGAAGCCCTGAGCCCGAGCGTGTGGTCAAGGAAACCCTCTGGAGGTCGTCTAGCGGTGATGGGAGAAAGCAGGGGTTTATCTTTGTTGTGACTCCGTGTTCTCTTCCTTACTGCACGCACTCTTGCTTGAACGCCAGCAGAGCAACCCGGAGAGGCACAACTGCGCCACTCTTTTCAGGGACTCAGTCCCTCAGGCGATGACGCGCCCAGAGCCACGCTCGATGAATGGCTGCTTTGGAGCCAGAGCTTGGCTGGGGCTGGGCCCCTAACACCCTGCGGCCCTGCGGCCTTTTCTTACTGCGAACTGTGAACTAGGAACGTGAGAAGTGAGAGCAATGGAGAGTAATCGAGTTATTTGAAAACTAACAAAAAATAACTGTTAATACTGTTGACATTTTGGGAAAAAAAGCTACTTTGAGAATCACAGTGAGATAACACCATGTGTAACTCTCGGGGTATACACAGATTACAAGTTGTATTGCACCAGTGTGAAGGGTCTGGGGCGGGTGCTCTGTCTTGGGATGGGTGTTAGCATCTGGGGAAGGGCGGGTGCGGAGGGCCCAGCCAGGTGGGGCTGCACCCGTGGTGT